CCTCCAGCCCGCTCTCGGTGGGCCTTTCCTCAGGGAAGGCCCTCGCCTTTGCGCTTGGCCCTGGCTGGAAGCAAGTTTTCCCCTCGTTCTGCACCTGGTAGCCGTTGTGTGAATCACCGTCCAAAGTAAAGATGTGCCATACTTCCGTGAGTGCTTTTGATGGCTTGCGCCTAACTGTAATATTTGTCTTTTCAGACCCTTATCTGCATAAACCCACCCCTTTTTGAGGTTTATCAGACGCTGTTAAGCCCCACGCAGCATCATGTGGCGCTCATCGGTACGAAGGGGCTCATGGTGCTGGAGCTGCCTAAACGCTGGGGGAAGAATTCGGAGTTTGAAGGTGGGAAATCCACGGTGAACTGTAGGTGGGTGAGACCTCAGGCGGTTAACGCCATCCTCGTCCTGCCCTCCTTCCTCGACAGCCTCCCCTCTCTTGGGGCCACACGAATACGGAAGGCATTGGTTGTATTGGGGTTGCAGGGACAACGGCAAATGAAGTTATTTTGGCTCAGGGACTTGCTGATTGTCAAGTGACCCAAATAAACGACCTTCTAAACTTGTTGCAAATGCTGAGGAGCAAGGTGCTCCTCTGCAGTATTTTCTAGTCTTTCTGGGGTCTTTTAGCTGTGGTAGCTAAAAGCATGTGTCCAGATGGAAATAACAAAGGGCTTCAAGTTAAAGCTGTCCCTCCAACTTTAAGAATAGTACAGCTAATGGCTTTGAAACCTTTTAATTGGATCTTTAGCTCCTCTTGCCTCCACTTCCCTTTAGAAGTAACTGCTGTGTTTCTTGTAACCATGCATATTCCCACTCTGTATTTCAGCACTATTCCTATTGCGGAAAGGTTCTTCACAAGCTCAACATCTCTGACTTTAAAGCATGCTGCCTGGTATCCCTGTGAGACGTTAGAGCCCCATGTTGTGCTCTTGACTTCAGATAACACTATAAGGTAAAACCTATTTGTAGTTGATTATCTAAGTTGGTTTTTTTTCCTAGCCAGTCTGATTTTTCACTAGATATTTGTGTCCTGCCATTCTTACCAGGATTACCAATAAAAAATAGGATGGGGGAAACTTTGGACTGATCCCGTTTGATGTTCCTGCATCAGCAGGGACGTGCGACACTGCCAGCTGAACAAACACTGCTGCTCTTTCTTTTCTCTAGGTTTTACAGTCTGAAGGTGCCTCACACGCCCATCAAAGTGATTACTCTTTCAGACACCGAGGAGGAGACTCTTACAATCAAAAAAGGGTTTGTGCAGCTTCCCGTATTTTGAAATGGTTTTGACAAAATAAGCTCTGTATTCTTATTTGTGTTTTTAATCAATAAGTGATAAATCTACCTGAAAATCTGATGTGATTTTTTTTCATGGACTTCTTCAGAGCTAGGACTTCTTCCTAGCACAGTAACTGCACTTTTTTTCTTTTTTCCCATCCTTCTAAAAGAAAGCGGTAACGAACTGCACAGTCAAGTGTTTGTCAGAGCAGTCATTTGAAAAATGCACGTTGTCTTTAAGATGGGGCTAAGAAGGGCTTTTTGAGAGGGGAATGCAGAAAACAGATGATCTTTTTATTTCCCTCTCAGCCTGGTTGGAAAGGAAAAACTTGAGGGTCTCTACTAGTCAAGTCGCAGACTGCGGAGTACCCGGGAAATACCAATACCCCCTCCTCGTTTATCCTGTGAAAGGGGCCTGGGTGGTGGGTGCATTGCAGAAATGTGGTGCCATAAGAAGGACGTTACTTGCATGCTTTTGCTGCTGAAAATAGCATATGTCAAAGGACTGATGGACGGGTGTGGAGCAGTAATTTGTCAGCACATGCCGATGGACCTGGTTAAACACACGCGTTCTCACAATGGCTGCTGACTTCAGGTCATGTTCCGACTTGTCCCTAGGAGAGCCTATACAGCATCGCTGGGAGAGACCGCGGTGGCATTTGACTTCGGCCCGCTAGTGCCGGTCCCAAAGAACATTCTTGGACAGCGAGGGAGCGAAGAAGTGTTGGCCTACCCGCTTTACATTTTATATGAAAATGGAGAGACATTCCTCACGTATATCAGCCTGCTCCAGAGGTAGGCTTGCACTCATCCCGGGGTGTCATGGGGCGCTTGTACGTTTGTACGATGTTAGGGCTGGAGAGCCATCTCTCAGCTTGGCTGGGACTCTGTAATGGAGGCTGGGCTGAGTTTTATTGTATCGCAGCCTGTTTTATCTCTTTGTGGCAGTGCTAATAGACTGAAATCCAAGAATAGTGTGTCATCCTTTTTTCATCTAGATGTTAAGGGTGCAGTTTGCACTGCTGAGAATCCACTGTCCGTTGTTTACAATCAGCAATTTGAAATGAAGCCACTGGACTGTTACAAGATCAGCGGCTCCAAGGCTGTTAGGTGTATTCTGGGGCCTTCACTTCACAGCGCAGACACTCTTAGCTTTGGATGAGGCTGAAAGAGCCAGTGGTATCTTAGGAAAAGAAATATTTTAAGGTCATAGAAGAAAGATTTGCAGGCATGTTTCGTAATGAAAGGTCAAGAATATGAATCAAGAATACAAACACAATACAAGAAAAAATTCACTTCAGAAAACTGAGAAGATGGTGGAAAACTTCCAAGTCAGATCTAGTGTAACTGAATATTAAAACGTGTGGTATTTAGGTTAGAAACAGCACTGTTTGCCTCTGCATGAGAAACGATGCAGCTTTCAGCAGACCCTGTCTGTGCGCAATGAAATAGGCTTAGTCCTTCGGAAGCTCTACCTAGAGAAGTGCCAGGCTACAAAACGCTGCTGGTAAAGTGCTTTATTAAGCAAGAAAACAGTTAAGTGATAAAGATAATTTGTGCGATCGCCAGCCAGTAGGTGTAGTGCAGACTCGTAATCTGCAGAAGTCTGGGTTGCTACTGTCTAATGGAAGTTAAACAGAACTCCAAACCATTGGGTTTTGGGTGGGTTTTTTTTTTATTTATTATTATTATATTTATTTTGTAGTTATTGCCCAACAAACTCCTGCAGGCAGCCATGGGGAACTCTCCTTCCACCCCTTGTGTTGTGAACACATCTTCTTTATTCCAGCACTGGGAATCTTGGCAAGCTGCTTGGCCCTCTGCCCATGCACCCTGCTGCAGAAGATAACTACGGCTACGATGCCTGTGCTGTCCTTTGCCTGCCTTGCATTCCAAACATCCTGGTGATTGCCACTGAGTCGGGAATGCTTTATCACTGCGTGGTACTGGATGGAGAAGAGGATGATGAGCAGGTACCTTGTCTTGGTTTTTTTCTGTATGTATTTTTGTTTCTTTAGTCAAAGCTCCTGGCTGCAAGGTGGCAGGCTGCCCGGAAGGGAATGCCGCGTGCCAAAGCTGCATTCTTTTATAATGAGGTAGTGAGTCTTCCTCCTATTGCAGCCAGTCCCCGTGATTCGCTGGTGCTTTTATTTTACATGTCAGTTCTGTGTATCCTACAGGTATATCAGTTTTTGGTAAAACTTACTATGAACTATTTTAAAGAGGATCTTCTAAGAGGGAACGATGTTTCTGAGAGAAACTTATTTTTAAGTAAAAAAAGAGACACTTGAACTACTTTCCCTAACAAACAATTAATACTCTTGTCTATGTTATGTAACTCTTTCTTGATGTTGTTTGTGTTGGCATTTCTATTTAAATGATGTCTGACAGAAGAATTCAATCCTCTTTACAGTCCGAAAAGTCATGGGACCCAAGATCTGATCTTATTCCTTCCCTGTATGTGTTTGAATGTGTTGAACTGGAACTTGCACTGAAACTGGCATCAGGAGATGAAGAAGAGCCCCTGGAGTCTGATTTCTCTTGCCCAATCAAATTGCATCGAGGTAGGGCTGTCATCTCTCAGCGTGGCTGTTGGCTTTTACTTGCTTTATTTCATGAATTTAGGATTGAGCTATTTACAAATTATCATTGGTGTCAGCAAGTGGTATTAGAATAAGGATTTGCCTGATGTCTTCAATAAGAAAAGAGCAAGCCTGGGAGGTTACATATGGCCACATGATACTAAATTCTTTCAGC